TGCGCCCAATTGTGATCTGCAAGGCTGCTGAAAAGCTATGGCCGACTTTGAGCAGAAACCCTGGAGTCCAGCCCTGAGCCTGTGCTGTCGATATAATTTCAACAGAGTCACCAATGTCTCTTTCAAACAGACACACGTGTTTGTCTCCAAACTATTTCTGAATGTAAGATTGTGACAGCTTTATTTCCCACATTTAGTCTTTTATTTTTTCCTGTAAAAATGCCACCGTTATTATATACTCCAGGTGATGTTACTCTTGTGTGTATTGTAGATATTTATTTCATTGTGGCAGTAAAAAAGTTTTAAAAAAATCTTTCCTCCCCATTTTCCGCTGTTACTACACACGTCCAGGGTTGAAGTATCGTCGGTTCTCAGCAATAACATTCCAAAACCCACATTAAGACAGTCATCCAAGCCCGCATTTGTGTTTTCAAACGCAAAACGATTTTTATTGCAAATGACTGCAGAACGGGCGCCCCAATACAGATTAAGAGTAAGGACTGGTTACTGAGTGACCCAGCGAGACAACACCTCCACGCAGTCGGCTACAGTATCTGTTCCACGGGTGGCGTCAGTCAAAGGCGGAGACCCGCCCCCACTGGGCTGAAATTTTGACTGTAAACATCCTGCGAATTTAAAAGCAGACTTTGGGCGGGAGGAAGAGGAAAGAGGGCAGGCGCCATCTTGTTTGTTTTAGTGAATCAGTGAGAAGGAGGAGGGGTAGGAAAGTATTGTACGGCCGCCAAAAAAGGAATACGGTAATTGGGCATAAATAGGTAAGGAATGCTTTTAAAAATGGAAATTACGAAAAAAAATAAGTGTGTCCGTTATACTTATTTTGGAGGCCCGGTGGTGTTTTTTTTTTGTTGTAATTCTCGGCAGACGACCGCTGAATTAAAAAAAAAAAGAAAAATACTGCCTTGCTTGCAAATTACGGAGCAGATTGATTATTGGTATAACCGGGGCTCGTATTGCATATCTCCCGCTCTAGATGGACGAAGTTACAAGTTAGTTTTTTCTTTTATGTGTTTTATGCTTGTCGTAAATTCCGGGTGTCTTCGCTCATTTATCTTGCAGGAGCTCGTTGGGAAGTTGCTTTTTTTGGGCCCTGTCGTCGTAGTGTTAATATTTGGCAATATCTGTGCGTGTAGAATTCAGCGAGAGGTTCCGACTGGGAGAGAGCCACTTCGCATTTTTAGTTAACAGAGAACCTGGTGCTTTTGTGACAGCTAAAGCGTGCACAATTTGTGTAGTACAGCGAAATTCAGCACCGCTCCCACACCAAGCTCTGTTTGGGATTAGGCGCCGACCGCAGGCTACCATGGGTGGGCTTCTTACGACAGGAAAGTACGTGGATAGCTCATCGGCCCACGTTCGCCCTGGCAGTAGTATTGTGTCTGTTTAAATCCACAATTGCGTTTTTTTTCCCCCCATGATCGAGTTTTCGTCTTAAACAAAAGGCGGCGTTTTCCAGTGTCACCGCTTCTAAGACTTTAAAGTGGAGTTCGAAAAGCGGACATGTGATTACACGGAATGGACATGGTTGGCTTCGCTAATGAAGCGAGTTTAACGGCACCGCGTCCGTTTATTGATGACCAGATATTTGTGTGTGTGTGGTTTTTTTTTTCCCCAACTTGGGCGAACGAATTACCACTAAGACTTGCGTGTGGGGTCTGCGTTTAAAAAGCGCGACAGCAGGACCGAACTGCGAGCAGTCGAACGTAAAGCGGAAGGAATGTTGCAGCCCAGATTCGGGAATCCGGAACGTTCGCCATCCCGGTTCTGAAAGATCCTTCGCCGGTTTTAAGATCAAAGCGATCCCCCAAGTCCGGGAAGTGTATTGAACTGCAGCAAAGTTCAATTGAAAACGCGCTGTCAGGCAGAGCTTGTAGATCAAGAAGCGACTCGTGTCGCTCCTGTTCCCCCCTCACACCGGAACGCCGGTACACAGAGGGATTTCCCGTTGTGTTGCTACTTGGGACTTTTAGTCTGGAGACTTACACACAAGTAGTGCAGTTTAATTTTAATTTAAGGTTTGCGACCTCTGGGGATAAGATGCCAGGGCTTGGAAGGAATTGATGTCAGAGGTGGGCCACCCCTCGGAACACAGTTTTTTT